GGTGGGTGAAGTGGCGGCAGCGAGACACTTTCCGCGGGCGCGCCGCGGGTCGATCGCCACGGAGCCGGCGAGGCGTCCTCCCCGGGCGGGAGGCTGGCCAGCGGCATGTCGCCGCCGAGGGTGGCGTCATCGATCTGGGCGTCGGACAGCGGGTCGTCATCCGGACGGCGGCGCCGCGTTTCGGCGGCCATCTCCTCGAACATGACGCTGATGCGCGACGGCACGACCGGCTTGTGCGCGACATGGACGTCGGGCAGGGGCAGATCGGCGGGGCGGATGTTCAGGTCGCCGGTGAAGATCGTGGCCGACACGAAGCGCTGCACGTGATGCCGCACGAGTTCGATCGCCGCCAGCCCGTTCGGTTGGCCCGGGCCGAGGTGGTAGTCCGCCACGATGCAATCGAACTCGATGCCCGGCATCAGTGCGAGCTTGCTGCCGAGTTCGTCGACGCTCTGGCAGGCCAGCGGCACGCAGCCCCAGCTGCGCACGATGCTGTCGATGCCGCGCAGCACGGCGGCATCGTTGTCCACCAGCACGACGCGCAGGCCGACCAGGGAACGGCTGACGGTGGACTGTCGCGACGTGGGCGCCGACGCGGCAGCCGGGGCCTGGGTCTGGGTAGAGCAGGGGACGGACACGCGGAACTCGCTGCCGACCCCGATCTGCGACTCGACGCTCACCGCCAGGCCCAGCAGCTCGGCGGTGCGACGGACGATGGCCAGACCGAGCCCGAAGCCTTGCTGGGCCTGGTTCTCGCGGTCCAGGCGGACGTACTCGTCGAAGATGTCCTGCAGACGCCCTTGCGGGATGCCGCGGCCGCTGTCGCGCACATGGACCCAGATCTCGCCGGGGGCCTTGGTCGTGATGAAGACCTTGATGTAGCCGCGGTCGGTGTAGCGGATGGCGTTGCTGACGAAGTTCGCCACGACGCCGTAGAAAAGCGCGAAGTCGGTCTCGATGCGCACGTCTTCATCGCTGTGGCATTCCAGGGTCAACCCCTTGCGCCTGGCGTCGAACCCGAATTCGCGGGTCAGGCGCTCGAGCAGCACGTGAATGCTGGTGATGCTGGTCTTGACCATCACGGTGCCGGCGTCCAGACGGCTGATGTCGAGCAGCAGCGCCAGGGAATGGGCGAGGGAGCGCACCACGGCGGCGACCTCGTCGAGCTGGGGGCGGAAGTCGATGGTGTTCGGGTCGATGCGCAGGCGCTCGACCATCATGCCCAGCGCATGCACCGGCTGGCGGATCTCGTGACTGACGGTTCCCAGGATGCGGACGCGATTGGAGGTCGAGTTCTCGAGCTCCTGCGACTTCAGCCGCAGCGCGTCGACCGCCTCGCCGTGCCTGGCGGCCATTTGCGAGAAGCGTCGCTTCAGGAAGGCAGCCCGGCGCGTCAGGATTTCGGCGAAGGCCCAGGCTGCGGCGATGTGCACGAGGAAGTGAAGGCGGCTCGGGTCGTGGGCCGGCAACCAGCCGCCGACGGCGAAGGACAGGCAGGTGCGTGAGAACCAGAGGCTGCTGGCGGGCTTCTTGAGGTTCGCTGCCGCCACCATGAGGACCACGCACAGGATCAGCGTCGTGACAGACGCGCGGGCGAGGTCATCCGCGTTGCCATGCAGCAGCACCACGGGAGCGCCGCAGACTGCGCCATAGACGGCGGCGACGAGCCTGGAGGGCAGGGGACGGCGGCCCAGGATGCCGCTCTTCGAGAGGAAGGTGGGGGATTCGGAGGTTGCGTCGCGCAGCCAGAGTGCGGCTGCGGACGCATAGGCGATCAGCCAGGGGACGAATTGCATGCCTGCACCCGGGCGGGCGGCGAGCAGGCATGCCGGAATGAAGCCGGCCAGCAACGCCGCCACGGCCAGGGCGCGGCGGCTGATGCGGTTCAGCAGCGCGCCCGATGCCACAGTGAGGCGGGGCATGCTCAGCCGATCGCTGTTCGGGGGCAGCGTGTGGGTGTGGGGTGCCATGGGATGGCTCCAAGCGGGGCAGCGAAGGCGAGGCCGGAGGGGCGAGGCCCTGCCAGGGCGGATGTCTTCGTGGCCAAGCGGGGTGCGGTGTGTGCGCTCGTGCACCGGAAGGTGCATGAGCCCGGTGAGACGGAGGGAGGCGCGGTGGGAACGAGACGCTCAGCGGAAGCGGCGCCTCGGCGCGCGACCGAGCGAGGTCTGCAGCCGGCTCTGCGGCGGCACACAGCGCTGAACTTCCCAGGCCAGTTCGTGCAGGGTCGGCAGGGGCGGCAGGTAGGCGTCCAGGGTCAACCGATGCCGGCTGGGCGCGGGGGAACCGTCCTCCGGTGCGCCCATCACGACGATGCGCACCGGCGTCTGGCCGAGCCACGCCTGCAATTCGGAGTAGGCCACCTGGGCCGCCTTGGGGTCACGCAGCGCAATCAGGATCAGCCGCGGCTGGCACCACCAGGCGTACTCGACGACCTCGCCAGCGTCGTTCAGCCAGTAGGTCTCCACGAGCAGGTCGCGCAGCAGCGTGCCGATGTGCTGACGCTGTTCGGTGCAGTCCGACACGACGAGGATTCTGTAAGCGAGAGCTTGCATGGCAATGCGATTCCTAGAGCAGCGAGTTGGGCTGGGTCTGTGCAAAGAGGTGTTCGACGCTGGCGTTCGGCCCGACCTGGTTGGAGGTCAGCAGCAACGAGGCGAGGTCGGAGGCGCGTCCCACGCGCTCCTGCAACTGACGCGCCTGCTGGGTGAACTCGCCGAGGCGCGCAACGTAGGCGGCAATGCTCGCGGCGACGCCGGTGCCACGGCCGAGCGCGCTGGCGACACCCGAGTAGACGGACGTCAGGGCCGGGTCTGCACCGGCGAACATCCAGTGCCCGGTGGCGGCCTGCGCTTCGCTGGCCTCCGTGCGTATGGCCGCCGTGCCGCGCTCGGCGGCGCGGAAGGCGACGTCGTCTCGGTCGGTGACGACGTAGTCGCTGACGGCGATGATCTCGTCGACCAGCGCCCACAAGAGCGGCGGCAGGAAAACGATGGTCAGTGCGCCGATGGTGCTGGTGCCGGGCTGGCCGGGCTGCCGGGAGAAAATCGGCGCCGCCTGCTCCTGCAGGGCGCCGTGCTCGATGAAGAGGCAGTGGCTGGTGTCGGCATCGATGAGGCCGCGCAGCCACTGCGCCCATGCGATGCCCGGACCGGCGCTCAGGAAGGCCGTGGTGCGCGTTTCGAGGTGCTCTGGTGACAGGCCGAGCAGGCTGAACATGCTTGCACGTGCCGCAGCCATCGGCTGGGGGCCGCGGCGCAGCACAGGCTGGTGATGGGTCGAGCGGATGAGGCCGGCGGAGTAGGCGCCGTCGCCCAGGTAGACGTCGAACTGCCGGTGCATCTGGGACTGGGTGCGCAGCTGGATGGCGGTCTGCCCGGGCTGGGCGTGCCAGGGCGCGTGCAGGGTGTACCAGCCGCCGCCGGACTGCTGACTGAAGTAGCGCGCCATGTAGGGAGCCGGCGCGGTGCCGTCGAAGATCTGCACGAGGTTCGGCGAGGCCGCGGCCGTTCGTGCGAGCCGTTGATCCAGGATCTCGATGTGGCCGAGGTTCTGGATCAGCACGCGCGGGTCGAGATCGGTGTGGGCCACCGACAGCGCGGCGATGTCATGACAGAAGAGCCGGACGCGCTGGCGGTGCTCGGCCAGCGATCGCGCCAATTGAAATGCGAACCACAGATCGGCGGGGTCGTCGGGTCGGTAGAAGACGTCCCAGATGTCGGCACTTTGCATGGTGGCCACCTGCTGTGCGAGCGCGGAGGGTGGGTACGCGCAGCGCGGGTCGATTGAATGGCGGCGACTCTAGGGAGTGGCTTCGCGGCGCCGGCAGGAAGCCGACGAGTTGACCGAATGGGGGCACGAAACGCTTGCTCGCCACCCTGGGTGTTCACGGGGGCTCTTGCAATGTCGACGCACCGGTGGTTGGTGCCCGCGTGGCTGATCGAGTGACGTGCCACAGCGCCTCGGCGTTCGTTCCCGCCCAGGTGCAGATCGTGGTGCCGGGTGGGCGACTGGTCGCATCCATGGGTGGGAGAGCGGCCCGGTCAGCATCCTGCCGCCCGGTTCGGTTCGGTCAGGAGATGGCGATGCAGATGGCTCAAGTTTCCGGGCAAGTCCTCCCGTTCAGTGGGGGCAGACGCCCCCGTGTCACGGCCCCGCGCTCCGTTCCCGTGAAGTCCGAAGCCCTGCCGCACGCGTCAGGCGCCTGCAGCGAGCATCGCCAGCGGGTGCTCGATGCGGTGCACGACGCCCTCAGCGCTGCCCTGACCGCGGATGCCGCCCTGTGCCATCTGCGCCTGCGACAGACCTTGGCCCTGTCCGCCGGACGCCCCCAGGTCGCTTGGGTGGCCTGCCGGGAGCTCCTGCGGGTGTTGCGCGTTGACATCGTGGCCCGGCACCTGCTCGCCTGCGACAAGCGCCGGCGCCTCCAGCGCGAGATGCAAGAGGTGGCGGCCCGGCTCCGGCAGATCGCTGCGCCGGAACCGGTTTGATGCCACGCGGCTGCGGGCGGCGCCTGGTCCGGTGACGTCCCGACCGCTCGGACGACCCGACGCGCCATCGGTGGAGAGGAGTGATGGCCGCCGGTTGTCAGACGCGCTGCGCGCTGGGCAAGTAGCTGGAGATCAGGAAAGCGGCCGGGTTGCGTCGCATGCTGCGTGCGAGGCTGTCCTGCAAGGGGCGGCTGCTTTCCAGGCGATAGAAGCGCTCGTCGAGGTCACGGAAGTCGGGCCGCAGGCGCAGCAGCGTCGCGAAGCGCTCGCTGCGGTCCAGGCTGGGCTCGCCGCCCAGGCGTTGCGCCGATGCCTCCAGGATCGATGCGACGTCCGGCTCGCCGAAAGCACGAAACCCGGCGAGCGCGTCTCGCCAGACGATGCCCACGTTGTTGGCATAGAACTGCTCGTGGCCCCCGGTGTTGATCTCGCCGATGTAGCACATGCAGGCGAACATCAGGCGCTGTTCGCGGGAGAAGCGTTGCAGGTCGCGCTCGTACTGGTGCGGGCCATCGAAGACGCTGACGCTCCACCACATCGGCTCCACGACCTCCCACGGCGTGCGCGTGGCGATGAAGGCGGCGTCGATCTCGTGTTGCAGGGACTGGGCATTCATGGCCGCGACCCCGCTGGCGTCGGGTGGGGTTGCCAGCCCGGGGCCACCGGCGGCGGTACGGCGGGCCGGGCAGGACGACCCGAACCAGCCGGCGGGGCACGGCGGCGGAAGCA